TAAAAATTACATGGTAAATCTGATGCCCGCTCTAGGACTGACTGAGCTGATTCTAGGATGAATGGCCTGGATGAATGACCTTAATTCACTCCTGATGATGCATTGGCTTGCAGGATTCATATCTAGGCCAATCTGATTGAGTATTGTTTGCCTATGGACAGTCAGATAACTGAGAAGTTTACAGGCAGGGCATTAAGACTACCAGTTGCCATGAGCCACACAATGGGGATTTGCAAATATTCTGCTTCAGAACATTAATTAGACCTAATTAATGCTTTGTACACTTTAAAAAGTGTAATTAAGCTATTATTTATAACACAACATGGCAGCATATTCCGAAGCTGAAAAGCACTCCCTTTTGCCTGCTTTGAATCAACTACCAGCAAGTTCCATTGGTTGACTCTGAGTAATATGAGAAAAGAGAGTGATGTGTTTAATCTCCATCTACTTTCTCCATGCTGTTACGTTATTTTGTTTATTTTGCATGCTGTCCAAACCTTGAAAGATTCTGGAGCATCCCACAATAAAAAGCAAAAACATAAAAGGATAAACATGATACAATGGAAACAAGACAACATTAAAAGTGGCCCACAAGGAAGGCTTTCTAAAATACCACCTTTGGTCAGCACTGAAAACACCACATTAGAGTCTGGCTGCCCTCCAGAGGAAGGGAGGCCCATAGAATTGAAACCATTACATAAAGAATTGAAGGCTCTTCTCCATTCAGGCCATCGGTCTACAAGGAACCACCGTATGTCCTTTAAGGACCCCAGGCAGCAGGCAGGTAGATAAGGGAAAACATGCTTTCTCAGGTAGAGAAATCTGTGTTGTCTCCTGGTTGATTCCCTACCCACATCCAAACTAGAAAGCTTCAAAAGCTTCTAGCCTTTCCAAATCTTGCAAAATATTTTGGAAACTCCGACTCTTGAGACTCTTTTCCAACTCTTGGGATGTGTTCCAACTCTTCTCTGTCCATTTCCTAAGCCTTTTACCAACCACTATTTTGCCCCCATCAGATCTTTTTTTGGACAGAGAAACCAGAGATGGAAACATCAATTTATATTCAGAACTGTGTCAGTTTCTAAGGCCACAAAATGAACTAAATATACTGCTCTGTCTGGGTAGTCCTTGGACAGGCGACACTGAGAAACCCCAACGGTACCTCAAATAAATAATCAAATGCACATATGTATTTATCAATAGAACAGTCTACCGCTCACCACCAGACTTCAACTTCTATGAGCATACACTTCAGCACCATGGTGTGCAAAACATAGTTTAGCCAGATTTTGCTGTCTGTACGAGTGTTACATTCACTCTGCCCACTGTACAATGTTCTTTACTGGTTCATGTGCTGGGAGGGTGCATGAGATTAGCCTCCCCTTCCTCCTTAGGAAATGGCCTCAAAATGAAATGAAATTCTCGTGAATGCATGGCTTCTGCTCTCCCTGTTGCGGTTATGGATCCTTCAAGGCTGCCAGCATTAAAGTGAGTGCATGGGTAATTCTCCTTCACCCTGTCCATTCACCAAAGTTCACCTTCCTTATTTTACCATGGACTGCCTTAGATCGCGTTTCCTCTCCTTCCTTTTCTAGCATCATCTTCTCATTTCTTTCTCATCAAAATTATCCTGAGCTGGAAGGGGACATTCTGGTGAGTGGGCACAAGAGTTTCTGTCTGACTGAGCGGTTGTGCCATGCAGCTGCACAGAACTTCTAGATGGGCTATTCCATCCCCGCTCCTACAACTGTGACAGCTATCTTTGGTGTGATATTTGTCTGGGACCTTCTCTAATCCATGCTGGATTTGCAGTCAAAGCAACTTTCACTGCATAGACATCTACAGTATTGTGCAAAACTTTGGAACATTCATGGTATCACTTTGTGGCTCCATTTTCACATCTTGCTCCCATAACTGCATACATTTAAGTAGTCACAGAATTGCCTTCATATTAGTATTAATTTCCATCTTAATGTTCACCTAGTTGGCTTCCCAGTTCCCTGAATTGTGTCTCTACATTCTTCACCTAGATCTTCTGCCATGTTTTTTCATCTAGTTGCTAGCCTCTATTATGTTCCACAGAAGGATGGCAGCCACATAGCAGAGAACCTGAATCTCCTCCTGTTATGCAGACAGTGAAAGCACTCTGTATTTTTAAATTTTGACTCAACAATAAATATGGCTTTAACTTGCAGTTTCTTCTTGCATTGATATGCATCTGCTGCCACGGTTGTGTTTCCAGGTGTGGGATACTGTTTCAGTTCTCCAAAGATTCCTCCACTGAGAAAATTTAGAGTTGCTCCTATATTAATAGGCTAATATATTTCAGGGTTTCCCATATTGCTGTCTGACTGTTTTTTGACCTTCTAACCTGCCTGAGATTTTTCAGAGGTTTTTTTTTTTTAAATTCCAAAAACATAATCTTCTTCATTAACAGCTCTTGGCCTATTTGATTTATCGGGGGCTTTGGCTTGCTGACGTGTTAGATGCTTTGCTACATTTGGCATGCTTTAACAGAATGCTCTTTTCTCCAGAGAAGAGCAGTTTCCCCCCTTTAAAGGAATGCAATTTCTGGAGAGGACTCTTCTTAATCTTCTCTATATCTTCTCGCATGGCAGGGAGATTTCAGCATGCAAACAGGAGGGTGGAAGTTTGATTCCTTCCAAAAGGGCCATGATCCCCAACTGGGTGCACATGAGCTTGCCCAGAGGTAAATGTATAACTTGCCTAGAGGTGCTAACTTGGCTCGTAAAGGAACGGACCCAATCACAGCCAAATGAAGTGCCAAGGTGGAGAAGGAAGGGCAGGCAGCATGGTGAGGAAGGCCCACGACTTTCACCATTCTCCCCTGGTATCTCTGCTGCCATTTCAAACAGGTCAGGCTGTACCCATGCTGCTGACTTCAGATGTCATGACAAGCCACCCTGAGAAGAAGCCACCTTGAACAACCCAACAAGTCGTGGGCTCTCAGTTTGACTCGTGCATGGCTGACAACCCACACTAACAACCCCCACATAGGTTCATACAAAACAACAAACTACTCTGACAGGAACAAAGGTGGCAATCCACCACCGTGGGTTGTCATGCTGTGCAAACCAGGTCACTGGGACATATTTCCGGGTAAATATTCACACTGCAAATCTCTTTTTGAGCTGGCTCCTTCTGATGTTTTCTTGCACATGCTGGTCAGGCTTTCCCTTGCTACGTGTTTGCCTTTCAAGTACTTACACAGAATGCAAAATCTAGCAGTTCTGTCAGCAAGCTACCAAAATCATGGCATACTAACTATTGCATGACTCGAACAACATGATTTCTGTTGTTATTGATCTGGCTTTCCAGTACATTGTCAGCTTTCTTAGCTCCCGGTGTATTTAGCCATTTCCTCTTTTGCTTGTTCTACTGCCTGTCTAAAGATCCATACTTGATGTTTGTTATAGGGTTCACATGATTTCACAGGCATTTTACTGCTTCTGCTTCTCCTCCAAACAAGGCGAAAACACTCTTCCAAAGGCTAGAAATAGATGTTGCAGACCTGGTTCTATTTTTATTTCAAATCTTTACAGCCCATGGTCATTTCATATTCTGGGGACAGAGCTTTGGGGAACCACTGTGGAATTGCAAATGTGTGTGTGTGTGTGTGTGTGACCATTTGTGCGGGTTCTCCTTTATTGAATAAAGCAAGGGAGACCTTTCTCTTTTTTAGCTCTTTTTCTGTTTTTGGTTTTGAGCTCTTCTCAATAGTGATAGGCAAACCTGCATAAACCCATCAGGTCATTCAAAAAGCCAATTGCATTTTTCAAGGGTTTGAAAGAATCGTTAACAACAAAACTGAAACACAATAGAACAGCAGGTGTGTTTGTGTGTGTGTGTTTGTGCCGAGTCTGTCTGATTCAATTGTTCAATCATTCCATAGGGAAAGTAGGCTGCCCAGTGGGTCTCTAAATTGTGAACCCTCCCCAATTTGATTAGCATTGCTCCTCTCTGCAGAGGTAAAGGGTTGGTCCACTGGAATTAAAAAGACCAGCATGGGAAGTCTTGCGGGAGCGGGGCTGCTCATCAAACCCCGTATCTGCTAGGAACCATGGGTCACTGTAAAACAAGGTATGCTTTTTCAGAGGGGAGAGGATTCCTTTTGATGACCCCCACCCAAATACCATGGATGCTCTGCTTTGCCACAACTTGAGATGCACCATTGCACAAAACCATCCTCTGCTCTCAGCACTGGCGGAACTTCACTGGATAAACACATTTTCAGCTTCGCCCACTCTCTACTTCTTCCCTGAGAATGAGCTGATGGCCACCCTCCCAAGAATACATCTATCCCTGTTTGGGCACTGTCAAAAGAGTGTCACTCATCCTTCCAAACATGGCCTTTATTAAATATGTACTGTTGACTAGTGGGCTAAAATGTTAGGACTGCAGTGGAGGCTGTGACCTCATAGGGAATGCTGAGTTTCAATCAATCCTTCTATTGCAAAAAGAAAAGCTTTATTTTATGCTACAGCTTCTCATTTATCTTCAAGAAGACTTTCTAAGGGTCAACATATTTTCCCTGCCTGTCTGGATCAGATTAGAAAAAGTGGATGCAAAGAGAGGGTGTTTAACCCGCCAATTCTTCCTCAGCTCAAAGTGGTCATCAGTTGTTGTGATGTTCTCTTATCTACCCTTTAGCTTTTCCTTGGAAATAAGAAAGCAACCCAAGGAGGGCAATTGGAGAAGAATAATGATGACTTAAGGAGCATCCCACCAGTTTGAGCTCCAGATGCCTGCTTACTGCCTGATAACTACTTTTCAAAACAAATAAAATACTTCTACTTTGAATCAAAATTCTAAGTATAAAACCATTTTAAGACTGCTACTTAATATCTCAGCATGACAAATCATGGTCATGCTTGGGATTCTTCACAGAGCCTGAAATTCTTTTATAGAATACAACGCAATAAAATGTGAAGAATGTTAATATCAACAACATCAAATGGAAAGGAAATGTGGAAACTTACCCATGAATTCAATTCCTAAATGGTGAGCTGTACCAAGGAAAGCATGTAAATGAAGCACAAGAGAGAAGAATAAAACATCAGTAAAGAATTGTAACATGAAAGAAAAGAGTTGCATATCATCATCATCCAAAGATGCTTTAATGTAACACCTACACTCATGAAGGTATCACAGTCCTTAAGGTCCTTCTGCATCACCTAGGATGCTAAAATATGATAAGGATAGTCCGAAAGCACCTCAGCCCATAGAAATATCTGAAGACTGCACATGCCTTAAAGCAGGGGAGTCCAAGTGCAGGAGAGCACAACCATATCGGCACTGACATCCACATGCATTGTGGGCTGGGGTCTGGGGACACACGCACTTGCGGTTATCTCAGGGTGCAAAGATAGTCACAGAGTTCTAGAGATTGCTGGGTGGGGTTGCAAGGGAATTCCTTTGCCTTCCCACAGCAATGATCATTGTGCTTTTGTTTCCCCACTGCTACTAGCAGCAGGCAAACAGCAATTCTGGAACTGCAGAATCTCTCCCTGAAGTGGGAAGAAAAAAATGGTAGGGCCCAGCTCTCTGTGGGGGTTGCAGATGTGGCCCCAGGAACAGCACTTGTACGTGGCTGCCCTAGTTGGTTCGTGTACTTCCTTAGCCACCTGGGCTGGATCCAGACTGGAAATGCAAGCTCATCAAAACCAGTTAATTTAACTGCATGTCTAGTTATGCAATATTCATTGTGCAGTTTGTTTCTTTTGGTAAACTTGACCAAGATATAAGCACACGCCTACTTTTCAAAATGACGCTGAGATCAAACACCTTTATCTGATCTCCACGAAATGGAAAAAAAATCAGATATAAAGCAAGATCAAGCCACATTCTTTTTTTAAAATGTGTGCCAAAGAGCTGATAAAGAACATTTGTTTTAAATGGGTCAATTACAGTGCAGAAATGACAAAGCATGTCAAGCTGTCTGCCATCTCCTCTAAGGGGCCAGTGATCTAAGACAGCAAAACACTGCTTTCCTCCCATAAATGCTGAAATTATCAAATGTTGAAGTAAGCCGCATATATTTGTGGAAGCCAATTAAAGAAGCAATTGGACTTAATATGCAAAAACAAAGCAAATACACAATACTGGCATGCCATTCCCCAGTAAACAAAAGCTGTGAATATTTGTTTAAATCACATTGTAAGGACAGGAGAACCAGGCGAGCGTGAGTTTGTCAAGTCTCACTGGACTCCACTTTGAATCTTACCATCATTCTCATTCTCATTTTTCTTTCTGCTTGAATGGTGTGCATTCAAAAGTGCACATTTTTATTGATTCCAAAAGGCAAGGGCAAGGGCAAGGGCAAGGGCAAGGGCAAGGGCAAGGGCAAGGGCAAGGGCGGAGCAGAGCATTGGCATTTGGATTACAAATAGGATGATTTTTTTTTTTTTTAATCTTAGCTGGGAAGAATAGTGCTAGCTAAAATGAAAATATTACCAAAGCTTTTGTTTCTATTCCAAATGATTCCCATAAAAATTGATAGAATTTTTTTTTGATGATTTAAATTCTCAAATTTCGAGATTTATATGGAGAAAGAAGAAAACAAGGATTAAACTAAAAATACTTCAGGAGGCTAAAGAGAATGGGGGTTTTGGTCTCCCTGATTGGATGCTGTATTATCAAGCTTCTGCTTTAACGTGGCTAAAAGAATGGATAACCTTAAGAAATAAGAGAATCTTGTATCTCAAAGGGCATGATTTGCAAATGGGTTGGCATGCTTATATGTGGTATGAAAAGTGTAAGGTACATGGTTCTTTTTTAAGTGACTATATTAGGAAATCATTAATGTCAGTGTGGGAAAAGTTAGAGACAAAACTGTATAATAAATTACCAAGATGGGTTTCACCTATGGAAGCTCTTGTATATCCAAATGCATTGAACTTTGAAGCGATCGTAAGATATGATGACATTTTGGATAATGATGGAGGATTGAAATTGTATCAAGAAATATAAGAACAAGGATCTAATATTTCTTGGTGGCACAAGGTGCAGATACAATTGAGATATGCTAAAGACTATAGAATGTGGGGTTTTTATAAGGATGTAACAGCATTTGACCTGGTGATGCTTAAATCAGATGAGAAAATGATTAAAAGACTATATAACTTCTTACTAGATAGGAGAATGGAAGATGAACAGGTTAAGGAAACTATGATAATGTGGGCACAAAACTTTGGATATAATATTGAATTAGAAAAATGGCAAAAGCTGCGGGAGAGAAATATTAAGGTAACTTTAGCAACTTCATATAAAGAAAACTTGTATAAAATGTTTTATAGATGGTATTTGTTGCCAAATAGACTAGCCAAGATGTTTCCAAATATGTCAAATGGATGTTGGAAATGTAAACATAAATTGGGTACCTTCTATCATATGTGGTGGACTTGCGATAATGTGAAAAAGTATTGGATTAAAAATATATAAATGGCTTGAGGAAATGTTACAAAAGTCTTTAGCTTTTAAACCTGAAGTTTTCTTATTAGGCATTATACCCGATGATATTAGCGAACAAGAAATGCACTTGATTTTACATGTAATTATTGCAGCAAGGATTGCATTTGCCCAACACTGGAAAAGTGAAGAACCACCCCCCGATGAACTGATCCTAAAAAAGATCTTGGACTGCGCAGAAATGGGCAGATTGACTTTGCCACTGAAGGAGAAAGAAGATACTGACTTCTATCAAACCTGGGACTCTTTTCATTATTGGCTAGAGAAACGGGGTTTCACATAGATTCAAATATGTTCATAAGTTAACTTAAAAAGAAAAAATGTGGGGGCTGACCCAGCAGGTCTGATGTTTCTGATGATTGATGTTGTTTTTAGTTTTTCTTTGTATTAGGTTTATTTAGAATAAAACTTATTCAAAAAAAATTTTAGGTTGAAATTTTAAATTTAAATAAAAACATACCACAAAAGTTACAAAAGTTACAAAACTTGCAACATTATGAAATTAGAAAATTCAAAATGTACAAATTACAAAATTACAAATATACAGACTTACAAGATTTCCAAAATTTACAAATCAAATTTACAGAAAGAACTTTCTACAGAGTTCTCTTTGATATGTTCATGCCATGTGTCTTACTGAAATTTTCCATGCAAGAGTGTTATACATACATTACGTAATTGGGGCATGAGCCCCAGACAACCACGGCCAAAATTTCCTCCACCAACTTGCCAACTGAAACAAGGCTCTCAGGTCCTCATACCCCACCAATAAAGACGGTGAGTGGTGTGTCTTTGTAAGATTAAGAAAGGACTATACAGAATCTCCTGGGAAATGCCGTGAGTCTTCTAAAAATTTGGTCACTCCTCAAAATTCCTGAAAGGTCCCCCCCACCCCGTTCAGGTGTCCTTGCACCAATTAACTCACAATGAAGGGATCCTGACAGAAAGGGATGGGGGAACTCATTCAAGGCATCTTCAGCTAGCTTGCCATGATAAAGTAAGCTCAAATAGACCTTCTACACAAATTCTAAAGGGGCCTGAGAGTGAAGTAGAAAAACAGAAGAGATTTCTGTGGGAGAAAACAACTTCTGGAAAACTGGTAGACAGATTTAATCGCAGGACTGCACCAGGACAAGGAAGGAAGTCTGTTTTAGTGCAACAGGCAACAACCTGGCAAGACATTTGCAATGACTTTGCCTCCACAGTGGAAGGAAAGCCTGTCTTAGGGACTCTGGTGCATTTCCTGCTAGATTCTCCTTCTGGCAGCTTTAATTGTAATGGTGGGCATGGGAAGGAAGGAAGGAACCCAGCCTACCTGGTCCTACTCCCTGGCTTTTACAAAGAGAGGAGTAAGGAGAGATGAAGCCATCATCACTGGCACGCATCTCACACGGGGAGGGGGGCACTTTCAACTGCCCCCCCCCCAGATAATGGGAATGTTGCTTCCTGACTTCCTAGCATTTATAAATGGGGTTCAGCTCAGCCCCACTTCAAACATCAGCAGTTTTTTAAATTGTTCAAGCAGAACAGTCACCATAAAAGGAGACCAGCTATCATCCTCGCAAACTCTGAGTCCCCCCACCCCACCAAGATGGGCTCTTTAGGTAGTCTAATTTATGCTAACAAAATATATTGGGTGCCAGTTATCTTTTTCCTTACCTGTATGCTTGGAGAAGCCCATACTGGGAAGACAGTATCATCATTTCCATGTTCATACGTTTGTATATTTTGCATATACCGCAAAGTAAGCAAACATACAGAAAATATTTTGGGGGAAACAAAAACCTTCCAAGAGAAAACAAGTCCAAATGCCCCCGAGGACTGAGGTTGCTCAATAAAAATGGATGAGGCTTAGGAAGGGGAGGAAAAACATGAGTTGGAAAGGAATAGCTCTGGACTCAAGAGCCGCATTCTATGGACATATTCCACAATGCAGCATCTGGTTGCAGCTTCTACTTGTTCTTTATGTTCTTATTTCCTTTTCCAGTAGCAAGTTTTAAGTAACAGTGCCCTCAGATGATAGCCTCACTTACCATGCAGCCAAAATTATATTCTGCCTTAAATTCTCTGGGCAAACAAGGTCAATTTACAGGCTTGCAAATGGGTCCTAAAATAGCTTGGAACTCCCCCCCCCCCAAAAAAAAAAGTGAAGAAAAACAAAACAACAAAGAAATCAGTGTAGGAAGCAAAATTTACTACATTTTCCTCCCCTATAAAGTTCTTTACAACGCTCTAATGATTGGCACCAGCAGCGATATAAAATACAGCCTCCAAATATTCTTAATTCAGTACCAAAGAACAATGGTGGTTGGAAAAGCTTCCTACAAAAACTTTTAAGTTTTTTTTAAACTAATTCTCTGCAGGATAGTGGAATAAACTATTGATTTTTGTTCCCTGTGGTTGACAGAGAATAATTCACTTGAGCCTAGAAAGAACAGTTCTAATTTTGGAAAAGAAAAGATAATGGTCAATGTTACAAAAACTCTGATATGCAAGAGATGTAAATAACGGATCGTCTTAACGATTGCTGCGCA